CTTTTAACTCAAACCTCAGTTTAACTTGACAAAATTAGCAGCAAACCATGCATATCAGTTACAACTCCGAGTTTTCTATGGTCAAGGGATTTTGAACTCCAGAACCATAAAAAGGAACTTTTTTTTTTTTTTTTCTTTTTCCAACTATTTGATGATGTGAAAGAACATTTCTCCCTACCATCCATTCAAGTCGGACCCATTGTATACAAGTGCTTCCCTTGCATCTATGGGAGCAGTTGATTTCACTTTATGAGAATCCAATAGGGGTACAACTTATTTATAGGCATCAGTGTAGTTAAAAACTCTTAATCACAGCCAATCACTTAAAACAGTTACATTTAATCTCAAAATTAGTGATATAACTAAATCAGGTAAAACTCAAATACCAAATACACGTTGAAAATCTCCAATATACCCGTATTGTACCACTGCACCCCACAACCTATTATTTGACCCTGGTAACCATTAACCTAATGAATGTGAACTATGGGGCGCAAAGAGGAATGACCTATTGGTTAGTGCCTCTCTCGCCTTGCCTCCTCCTAGTGTAGGGTTCGAGTCTCACCAAGTCCCCCTCCCCTGNACAATGAATGTGAACTATGGGGCGCAAAGAGGAATGACCTATTGGTTAGTGCCTTTCTCGCCTTGCCTCCTCCTAGTGTAGGGTTCGAGTCTCACCAAGTCCCCCTCCCCTGTATAAATAGTGACCAAAAAAAAATACTGTGAACTATGAGGATTCGGTAATGGCCAACCACCTTGGACCTAAGNGGTAGCTTTTTCGGTAACTAAGATTGTTGTGTTGGTAGTTAAATAACAAAAATCCCTGCTTGCTCCCTTCCCTTGTATTCTAAGAACTCGCCATCCAACTCTACAACTGGAAAATCTCTCTCTCTCTCTCTCTCTCTCTCTCTCTCTCTCTCTCTCTCTCTCTCTGGTTCAATTAGGGTACCGAAACTATTTGATACCGTATCTTTTATTTTCCATCAGCCAGAATATAACATGTGTAAAATTTATATTCTTTTAGATCAATGGTATCTACAATAATTTTTGATATATGGTACCACTTTGGTATCACGTATAGTGCTTTATTTTTTTTTTGGTGCACAAAATACACACACAACATAGTCCACACATCATAAGCAACTGACCAGGAGAGGGACCCTCTATTTGAGTTATATTTTCTTTGAAATAATCCCGGCGGAGGGTCAAGACTAAAGAAATTATAAAATTTTAAAAATCATAGGTGGTTCTTATTCACTAAATTGTGGGAAAAAAACGAAATCGTGATCTCTGATCGCAACATTCGGACTTGTGGCGTACAAGATTTAAAACATACAAAATTAATGTCCAAAGCTTGAACTTACAAAAATACTTCAACATGCGATAATGTTTAGTTTGTAACAATTTACACACGTTACAAACCTGATTCGAAAAACAAACAATAATAAAGCATATGATCCTAAATCATTACACAATGATTTTCTTCATCGAATACATGGTTTCTTTTGTC